ATTCACCTCCACAACTAAGTAGCCAGATACTTTTTCCATAGCAGCAGTCTGTTTAAAGTCATACAGAAAATTCTACATCGCTAAGACAAGGATCTGATCTTTGACCTTGACCTCTTGCTAAAGATAAAAAAAAACACTGCCTTCTTAAACCAATAACTAAAACAATGTATAAAAGACAAATTGGTTTGTATGAACTAATCTGATTATTAAACATGTAATATCAGCTCAAAGATAATTATCACAACTCTCAACGGACTTGATAACATTAACTACATAGCTTTGATTGACAAGTTACACTTATTCATCGCCAATAACATAAAATAACTCTTTCGGATAAATACAACTTTATTTCCCTGCGGAATTATGGGAATTTTACGATGTGATTGTTAATCGTTTTCATCCCTCTTTCTAATTTGTGGTTTTGTCACTTTGTACTCTGGAACTTAATTACAGTGTAATTATCGGTCTGAGTAATTTGGTCGTTAAGACATGTAAATGGCCAAAACAGCGTCAAGAGTTGCTGATTTGGAAAATAACTTGTTGCATTTTATTATTGATGAAGCCATTTCTATGTTTATTTTGGATCCAAATGTTCCATTTCGATAATGGTAAAGACTATTAAGTTTTTCATGTGTTTGCTTTCCACTGATCGTGAAAAATGGCAAGTTATTTTATTAGTCTGGGTGAATGTAGTCTTTGATATCTAGTTCCTTCAATTTCCCTTCAATGATTATAAACGTACCTGTAAGTGCATTGATAACTTTGCAAAAACATATATAAATCCCTTTTGAACCTCAATATTTGTTAGTGAATGAACTTCAAATATTGCATGGTCTGCTTTTTGTCTGTTTGTCACTTTGCGTCGTAAAATGTTTATTGATCATGGAATTGCAAGAACTTAGACCTATTTACAATCCCTTTAACACTGACTTTTCCGATGCCTTTACAAGCATAGATATATAAACATTTGAAAATGAAGATACATGTACTGCATCCATATTATGTTTTTTTGCCTTTCATGTGTATTTAAGTCAACAAATTTCAGATCTAATAGCTAATTATATAATCAACTCAGCCCAAGCCTGGGGACACGAATTCTTTTCATAATAATATTCTTTCAAAAAAACTGCCATCAAAGATCCAAATTTGAATGCATGAATCTATTTAAAGACGGAAAACAAACAAACAACAACAAATGATAAACTTAGCAACGAGAATATTAGTTCGTTGGTTTATCAAACTTTACTTATTATTTTAATTTTCATGAGAATATAGGAATATCAGTACTCCTTTAAATTTTATATTCAAATTCACTTTAATAAATTGGGTAAAATTCGATATACCAACGAACGTAAAGACAGTAGTCTATTTTCAACTCAGATAGTATGTTTACATTCCCCTTACGATCGTAAACGCTGCATATAGATTACAGCTGTAGGTCGTTATTATCCTAATCTTCGTTAAAAGTCTTTTCATCTCTGTAATTGACCTAGTTTTAGTATGTATCAGAAACTTGAAGGTGAACTACTTTAACCAATGATCAATCAATAAAATGAAATGAATGAAGTTTTAATTTCTTACATTTTGCTCCATCATGAAGAGTAATGAAGAGCAATGCCATGCAGTGTTCAATGAGGGAAATTTTCTAGGACAGCGACATTCGTCTGCTCTTTAACCAATGATCAATGAAATAGTCTTTAATCAATGGTGAAAGTTGTTGATATAGAATATTTATACGGTAGTCAATAATATATACTCTAAATTCTCAGAGAGTTGCTGAGTCAGCAAATTTGTTTGGAATTGAAGAGAATGAATGAATGAATGAATGAATGAATGAATGAATGAATATTTTAAAGGATAATGTAAAAATTGATTGATTGAATATAGCAATGAATGAATGAATGAATGAATGAATGAATGAATGAACTTGCAAAAGATGCATGAGAAAAATATATAAAATACTTATTGTATTTGATATTCTTAACAATTTCTAGATATAAAACTTAATCTAAATCTTTGATCATAAAAATATAAAAAAATATATAGAACTATCATATTTCACAGTTCGTTTTAATATGTAAAGAAATTATAATTAATATTTTTCTTAGGTTTAACAACCAATTATAGTATAAATAGAGAGATAGGGTTTCAAAGGCTGAAGAAGGATATTTAACGGTGTGTGGAATAACTATCACTTGAACGATCAAAAGCTGGGTTTATTTACTTATAAAGATGATCCTATTAAATAACATGAAAACTTTTTTAACAAATTTCAACGACACGATTTTTTTAAACTTTTTTATTTTTAGATAATCTAATATGATTTTTAATGTTCCCCTGTGATTGGGCATGCTGTAGTGTTTTTAGGTGGAGGGTAAGGGAGGCCCAGGAAAAAGGCTGTTAAACATAGTAAAAAGAATGATCTGTACCCTACCTTGATAATTCTCCAGTATTATAATAAAATTAATAATTATGTGGATCTTATGAATAATTCTCTGAAAATTTCACCATGATAGAAATTTAATAGGTTTTACTGTGAATTTTTTCACCATTTTTTGTTTCCTTTGATCTTTCAAAACCTGTTGTTTTTCTCCTAATTTCAAAATAAATTGATCAAAATTGATAAAATGAAACAAAATTGTATGATATTAAACTAAAAAGTTGTTATTAAGGCAACATATGGTGATAACAATATCAGAGAGTTTTTTCATTTTATAAATTGTAAATATTAATAACCAATTTCATTTATTAATCACAAAATATGTTAATAACCATGGTTATCATTATCAGTCAAAATATCTCAAATTAATATCTATAAAAATACAGACCTAAGTCATGTTAAAAATAGTATTTGTAAAAAAAAAACAAGATTATTGTAATCTAGTAGTACTGATTCAAAAGTAACAGCAAAATCAGATACACAGCAAAATCAGATACACAGCAAAATCAGATACACAGCAAAATCAGATACACGGCAAAATCAGATACACACCAAAATCAGAGACACACCAAAGTCAGATACACACCAAAATCAGAGACACACCAAAGTCAGATACACACCAAAATCAGATACACACCAAAGTCAGATACACACCAAAGTTAGAACTGATTTCCTCTTTCATGAAAACATTCTACAGTTCTGTATGGTTCCTTTCAAAAGTCAAGTAGGACGCAAAACTCCATTCATTTCATTTTCATTTTCCTTTCAAAAGTCTAACAAGTTTTGTGATTCAACTAAATAACCTAAATATTAAAAAAATGAATTTTACAAAGTTATCAAAATATCTATAATTTATGGAGACATTCTACAGTTCTGCATGGTTGCTTTCAATGGACCAACAAGTTTTATATCTGAACTAGATCAGTGTGAAGTATTAAAATTCTCAACTGTATGATGGTAGTAAATCAAGTTATAATGGTGATATTTTATACCTAGTAAAACTGTGTTATTAATTTAACACCTAGAGTTATAATACCTGTCTTACTAGGTCATAATAGTTACACCTGACTCCGATAACATCAAATAAACTGTCTGCTAGACGTCTAGATTGTCATCTTCATTAAAATCATCACAAAAACACTGGCCCAGACAAATAATGACGGTGAAATAGCTCAATCTGTGAGTTGGATTGTTAAGATAGCTAAGTGTCAAATTATTGTCTAATTAGGTACCTTGTGTTCAATTCCTCTTCAAGATATAATTCTGATACCACAACCAATGCTTTCAAGAGTCAGCCCCATGTCAGCTTTCAACCCCTATCACAAATGCAAATTTGACAGATGTCAGCTAGTGTTGAGTTAGAAAAACTATCCCCTTTAAATATGAATGGTTGGTGGATATCTAAACTTTCAACTAGTATGATCACAAAAACACTGGACCAGGAAAATCTAAATTTGACAGATGTCAGCTTGTGTAGAGTTAGAAAAACTATCACCTTTTAACATTAAGTATGCTAGAAGCCTTTTAGAAAATAACATCATTTTTGATAAAGACAATCCTTTAAGTTATAAAAGAATTTAACAAATGTACAAAGTGTGTAAATAACTAAAAAGAACATCCGTTCAAAACTTAAAAAAAAAACTTTTAAAAAATATTTGTGAAGTAGAGAAGATCTGAGCTTTTGATGAAATTTGTACAAAGAGTGTGTTGTCTTTTGATTTGTATCTTCAAATCCTACTTAAACTCTTTTTAAGTTTTTTAAACAAATATTATTGAAATAAAAATTTAATGGGTGAAAATTGTCATGAATATAATGATAACAATTGAAATTTGTAAAAACGGCAAAAAATTTACCTTTTTCTTTTTCATTTTTTTTTGACCGGTTTTAAAATGTGTTACCTTTCAGTGAAATATGATAGTCTTAAATCTTAAACCACAAACATTCCAAGTTTTTACCTTTCATCAGTTTAAAATGTTGAAACTATGATATATATATATAAATTATCTACCAGCCATGAGTGTATTTATCTTGAAGACGTAACAGAGTCCCAAATAAAAAGAGTTTTGAATTTAAGCTAGTTTTGAATTCTGTGGCAGATGTTGCTTAACCTTTTAGATAAAGTTTTGCGCCTAGTTCATGGACAAAGGGAGGTGATTTGAACACAAGCGCCTGATTGCCAGGTAGACGACAATAGAACTTATTATAGCTGTTCCTCTGCCACTGTGACCCAACCATGTGTCATGTTAAACCAAAATGAGACCAAAAATGTAAAAAATGATTCCACAGGGAAGGATTTAGAATTAAATAGATTTGTTTTGAAAAATTTTCTACAAACAGAATGACTAATTGATTTATAGAGGCTTGAATCAGAAATCACTTTGGTTGTTGGAGAACAAAGTAATACAAAGTTGTCTGGCTGAGGAAAAAAACAGTTTGATGTTGGCATGAAAGACTGGAAGAGTCTTTGAATCAGGAATGTAAGAAATGAAGTTATGAAACTTCAAAGCTTTAAGCAGACCAGAAAAGCACAATGCCTGTGTCTGATGGGTGAAAGTTAAAATGGTAAGATCTATGGAATTCAAAGTTATCCTAAGCAATGTAGGAGCATGAAAATGGATCTTGAGAGATGCTCAGTGATGTGCTATTACTTTCATTTCTACTGCAGTCAATTACATTAATCCACCTGAATCAAAGCAGACTATGATATCAAGTAGCTAATAGTGCGTTCAGACGACTCAAGTTAAGGCAGCTCAACTATCAACTGTTCTTTGAGGTTGATTTGTTAGTCGTCTGAACACGACCGGTCAAACTTAAGCTGCCTTAACTTGCACTTGGCGATGGCTTTAAACCTGACTTGGATAGTTAAGCTAGCTAAGTTTGGCCATCTCAACACAATTGGCCAACATGTATGACCCTTGAACTTCACAATTAATTCCGAGGTAACGTCAAAGATTTCTTAACTTGTCTGTCCGTCTGAACTCTCACCATAAACAGTAAACCAGATTCGAAGAACGTTGATAGATAAGCTGCCTTTACTTTAGCCGTCTGAACAGACTGAAATGTCCAGGTTCAATCCTAGCCTAGGTCGAGATGATACCTAAGAATTTCCTATTTCCCCTTGTCAATGGCGGGGCTGACATAAAAAAAGGTGCCTAGTAGCTGGGATAACACAATATAATATATACAGATAAAGATCCCTGGATAGTTTAAAATCAAATAATGATAAACTAATGTTGCTGTTCTGGTAAAATTTCCCTCATTGCACACTGCATGGAATCCCAAGTATTAATGTTCCTATATTCAGTCATTAGATAAATCTGATAAAATGGGGAAAGAGATAGCTATCATGAAGAGCATTAATTTGTCCTTTTGAAGAATCTTGGTTTATCTCTGGTAGACGATGGTATCTATGGTAATTAATCGGCCATCTTGATAATTGGAGTAATCTACCAAAAAACATTTAGACATTTAAAGGGCAAGAGAGATACCACGTTGGCACAACTCGTACACGATATCGATATCTCGTTGATCTGGAGTTCGGGATATCTGTACTGTTATTCCGTGCCAAACACTTACCAGTATATTTTTTATATAATTTACCTGATTACACATTGCACGGCTTTACCCATCTTCATTAATTCAGTTAATAGCAAAAAAATATAGGCCATAATTTTGTTTCAGAAATTTTTTTAGTTCTTAATGTCTGGTATGTGTTGAATGAGTTGTCAAACTTAACTACATTATTGGCTATGTGGACTCTCTGAAAGGGTTGCTATAGAGATGTTGGGGGTCAAAGGAGTGATATTTTGAGTACAGATACAGTGAGACATCATGAGAATGATAAAATATGTGTTGATTGACTTGTTGAAACAAATAAATGAGCCTTCCTTAGGGAAGATTTTAGCCCCCTTCTAGCCCCACTCCCCCCCAATCAGTCATACAGGGACATTTGAAAAGGTAAAAGTAAAATTAGACCACCAATGCTGCACTCAATTCACCTGTAGGCTTTTTATAATTTATTTATCAAGTTCATCTTGTATTTTTATTTTAACTCAACATTTCAGTTTAATTTGATTAGTGTAAATTTCACATGAAACATATTTCTGTCCAAAGAGTTTTCTTATCGGGCGAGATCTGATTACACAATTAATGTAGATTAACATTCCATGGATGAAAGGTGTAGAGGATTTTTGGCACCAGTTCATACAATCCTACTAGCTATAAAATTCTGTTCCCTTTGATGTTTTATTGCTGTGTCTCGATGGACCAATATAAACCACCCCGGAGCATCGTCTGTTGAGATGTTATTTACTATCTTGATGTCGATTCGTGCGAAATACTTGGTTTACCAGACTGTCCGACTAGGTAAAGTGCAGATCAATATTTTCGATGATAAAGCAAAGGGTGATATGAATTTTGAAATACCAGTATATTTTTGTTGATAGATTATAAAAAATAGTATATGTTATACCACTTTCAATGTTTCAAGAAAGTTTGAGGAAGTGAAATTCTTTCAGTGGAAGTAGCTTAACATATACAGACAAACTCTTGAAAATATAGAAACACCTCCAACACCTGTACATATATTCCAAAATTAATTTTTATTCACATTTTACAGACAATAAACTATTAATATAATATTCTCTCTACTGAGATGTATTTAACAAATCTAAATAAAGAGAAGACTGCACAAAATTACAATGTAAAACTTGTGTCATTCCTGCAAGGGAAATACTTAATATGCCTTGGCCAATGTGGTTAGCAGCTCACACATTGCAAATCTTATATAACCCTTCCAATACTATTGAAGAGAAAAAATATTTCATCATTTGTGTTTTAAATGAAATATGACACTGTAAAAATATAATGTGGTGACAATTAAAGGGAGACAACCTAACTGTGATTGTCACCTGTACTTAATTGTTGTCTCAATCTATTGTCACAAACTTTTCTGATAACGGTGGCAGTGGAATAACTCAACAATAGCGAGTTTGATTGTCGTCTGCTAATTTGAATCCTCCTCATGGTTAGAAAAATTCTAATGTCAGGGCAAGAGCTTGACCAGTGTCAGCTTTCATCCCCAAATACCACTGGTAACATGTGACATGTTGATAAAGTATTTATGAAGTATATTCTATATGTTTATAATTTACTAAATCGTGTATTATTTCTTATTTTTCAGGAATTATCGATCTGTGTAGCTGATAAAGGTGATGGCTCTCCACTTCGAGGTAAGGTTACTTTATTTAGAAATTTTAACCTTTTTTCTGCTGTCAATGAATTTGTCTTTCGTTTTGTGATTGATCCAATTCAATTTATGATTTGGTTTCGCCTGTCCGTCCCCTCAAAATTAAAACCTGTGCCTAAATTGTTGAAATTCTAATTTTTAAGTTCCACTTTTCATAAGTTTGAGTTTTAACATGAACATTTTGAACTCTTTTGATGAATTTAAATTGTGAGATAAACTGAAGAATTGTGACCAAGTATAAAAATCTATCTGATGTAGATGACAAGTTAACATCCACTTCTAATGAACTGATATCACAGACTAGGTAGTTGTTGGTAGATGACAAGTTAAGTTCACTTCCAGCTAACTGATATCACAAACTAGGTAGTTGTTGGTAGATGACAAGTTAAGTTCACTTCTAGTTAACTGATATCACAGACTAGGTAGTTGTTGGGAGATGACAAGTTAACATCCACTTCTAACGAACTGATATCACAAACTAGGTAGGTAGTGGAAAAGCTACCTGATGAGATAAAGTAGATCAGGTAAAAAACAGTTCACCTGTAATTAACACAGTTTACCTGATTACCATTTAGTCTTTGATGTTAATTAATCAGGTGTAAAAACCTTTGATCTTCAAACAAACCAGTCATGTATGACTTGAGAACGGAAGATATACTTCATTTGTTGATAACACTATTTTTACCTGAGTTTATCAAATATTTTGTAGAGGTCAAACTTTTTAAGAGAGTTGACTTACAATTCTACAGGTTTATTTTGTTGTGGTTGATTTTAGACTAGTACTTAGGACTGTATTGTTTCAACAAAAAAAATTCTTATTCCATAGAAATCTGTTGCATTTCGTAAATGGCAATGGATTTTGATTTTAGACAAGTACTAAGGACTGATGTAGTAGTATTTATGTCAAAATTCCTATGCTCCCAAAAAATCAGTTGATTTTCATTGGTTAAATTTTGTGAGTGGCAATAGATTTTTATTTTGGACTATTAGGTAGTCAGTATAGTCTAACAGTTTCATTTCAAATTCCATAAACAGTTGTATCTGAATTCTGACAGTAAGAATACAAAAAAAATTCCAGTGAATTAAATTGGTAATCTAAATTCCTTCCAAGATATTTTATGTTTGGAACCAGCCTGGAAGTGACAGAAAGTTGTCTCTGGAACCATGGAGATTGATTCTCAAGTTTAATGACACTTCCAAGGAAATCGGAATCTGAAATAAACTTGGAATTTAATCTGGATGTTCAGTGAGTTGTAAATTTCTCACAGATTTTAAGACTGGTTTGGATGGAATTTGTGGCATTTTTAATAAAATATTGAAACAGTGAATTAAGTGAATTTTCTCATCTGCCATTTTGAATTTTGGTTATTTTGAAGGAGACAAAGGGTTCAATTTATACCAGTAATATTTTTAGTCTAATATTTCAAAGATTTAATGAGATGATGATCAGTAAAAACTGATGAAGAAAGAACAATTAATTGATTGACAGATTGTGAATTTGGTCATCTCTCTTGGATATTGATGGTTAGATTATGGATGCTACAAATTAAAACATTGGATTCATTGATATTAAACTATTTAAGAATTGAGGCTCTAATAATGGACAGCAGTGAGCGATTATTTTACGTAAAAAATGGTATGGAGCTACTTATAGGTAAGGTGGAATGAATGAATGAATGAATGAATGAATGAATGAATGAATGAAATGAATGGTATGAATGAATGAATGATGAAATATGGTATGAAGTAATTATAGGTAAGGTGGAAGGAATGAATGAATGAATGAATGAAGTGTTGTGTGGTTATGGTGATGATACACCAACTACGACTCAGATTTTTGTTGATGGTCGTAGAAACTCTTGATAAGACTCTATTCTGCGACAAAATTCAGCAAATTGTACCATTTTTTTGTGTACCCTCAGCATAACGTGTGGATGAATTGAATGAATGATCTTTCAAATTAGAATTATCAATGAAACTGTCAATCATTCAGCGGTTGAAATTTGAACACAAAATGATCTTTCCTTCACCAGTGACATTTGACTGATTTTTGGTTCACTGTGAGTAATATTGGTTTATTCTTATATCTCCACTTTTAGTGTTCATTTCAACCAAACCATATTGAACCCAACCAAATGGCCAAAACTAAAGGAGATTTTTGTGCCAAAACATACAATCATGATGGTAGAGGTTTTTATGACTCATTTTAGGGTCAAGGTTATAGGCTAATGGCTTGTGTATAGTATAGTGGTCTAGAGCCAATTACATCTATCTAGCTAGTTAACTGGATACTGACAAAATACTTGACCAACCCAAATAGTAAAAACAGGAAATAGCTATCTGTTATTAAAAAATGAATTGTATGAACTACTTTTCTGCACCTGAGTAAGCTAATAATTATGGGCAACTCCATGCAGTGTGCATTGTGCCAACTATTTTTTTTAAAGGCTAATAATATATATATAAGACATCTATGCCTCACTCTGATCAAACCCCTGTCAATGATGTAGGTAAGAGGGGCTGAAATGGAAAAAGCGTCTAGTTGTTGGGACAATAAACCTAGGCCCAGTGTGCTACAGGCTGTGCACGTTAAAGATCCCTCGACAGTTGGAAATCCAAAAAGAGCAGGCTAATGCCGTTGGCCTGGCAAAATTTCCCTCATTGCACCCTGTATGGTGTTACCCGTCTTCATTGGCCAAATTAGGAACAAAAGAGAAGGATGTAAAACTCCATTCATTTCATTGCATTTCTCAATCTGATGAAAGAGAATATGACATTGTCTCTTTAGCCTTGAGCATCCATGTTAGATTTTCAGAGATGTTGAAAGATCTGGAACAGACTTCTTTCTTGAAAATGGTATAAAAGTAAAAACATTGAAGCAGTTATCAGCATTTCATTAATTAGTTTCTCAGAGTAATGTTTTTTAATAATTGGTCTTCGTTAACCTATTGAAGTTTCAAAGCCAAAATTTTAAAGCAAAGTCTCTCATTTTTTACAGAAATGACTTCATTTTGGGATGCTCTCTGCAGATTTCTAAGAGCTTTACCCAGCAAGCTGAAAAAAAACCCAACAAGATTTGTTGTTATTTCCTTAACCACTAACAGAATGGCCATTTTATCAATTTACTTGGTTAATATTGTCATATATTTAGACCTTGTTTTCAGAATAAACACTTTCTAAATAGACAATTTCTCTATCTCTTTGGCTGGGGGACAAAATTATTCTGAAGACAGTTATTTCTGTTATTTTTTGTTATGAAAGAAAACTTAATCTTAGACAATAACAGCTCTATTTTGTTATTTTATTATTCTTTAGCTTTGATCTAAGTCTTTCATCTTTGACTTTGATTGGTATAAGGTTTAAGAGATACTCTCTTATAGAAGCACTGGCCTAGGATTTAAGCATTGGAGTACATCAATTTGATAGGAAATCAATCAAGAGGAAAAAGGAGCTTTTGGTGGGTATTATAGACATTGTCTCTAATAGTAACAATCTACTCTACCAGTGTTTGTGGGTATATTATAGAGGAAAGCCTACTTAATAGTAATATTATATTACAATGTATATAGAGACAATGTCTCTGGTAACAATCTACTCTACCAGTGTTTGTGGGTATATTATAGAGGAAAGCCTACTTAATAGTAATATTGTACTACAATGTATATAAAGACAATGTCTCTGGTAACAATCTACTCTACCAGTGTTTGTGGGTATATTATAGAGGAAAGCCTACTTAATAGTAATATTGTACTACAATGTATATAGAGACAATGTCTCTGGTAACAATCTACTCTACCAGTGTTTGTGGGTATATTATAGAGGAAAGCCTACTTAATAGTAATATTGTACTACAATGTATATAGAGACAAATGTCTCTGGGAAAACTGGAGTTTTAATTGTCACATAATCATACACAGGAAGTTTATCATTTCTCTTGTCAAATTACATTTCACTTTCTACATTTTAAATTTTAAATCAGACGTCTGCAGTTATATTAGTAGTTTGTTTTAATTAATCTTGTGGACTGCAGTATATCTACAGGTTACTTTAAAAAATTGTCAGAAGATTGCCTTCAGAATTGGATTTCATGTTCAACTTTCAAGCATTTTCAGATATTAATATTGCAATAGGAGAATGGATTCTAAAATATATCTTTGGAAAGTTTAGATCAAAAGTTTTAAAAAGCCAAAAGTTTTAGACAATGGACTAGCTTCTAGAATATAACCCAGAGTAAGGTGATGTCAGGTGTTTTTGTTATAAATACAGATTTGTACAACAGAGGACAGCCCTCAAGAATATAACCCAGAGTAAGGTGATGTCAGGTGTTTCTTTGACAATAGTGCAACAAAGAATGATTTGAAACTCAGAAATACATGATGCTTGGCTGATTATAGAATTAATTAATGCCTAATTGACATTTGACACCTAGAGCTTGACACTGTCACCTTGTGTCATGTCATCTGAATATTGATATAATTGTTAGAATTATCACCTGGTGTAACAATGTTGTGTTAAAAATGAAACATTGTTTATGTCACTGTGGAGACAGGCTGCGTTTATCATTGATGCTAGGTGACGTAAAGTGACGCTAGTTTTACCTTTCATTACCGTGCCCCTCGATAAACTTCTCATTAGACACTGAGTGTTATTTTTCAAAATTTCTTTGTCTAAAGAACTTGATTAGTGTCAAATTTCAAAGCTTTCTGAGAATTATGTATGAATGAATACATTAATTACAGGACTGAAGAGAATATTGGATTGAGGAGAGTTGTTATTTTTATTAGAAATTTTACTTTGTTTAGCATTGACTCTTATACTTGTGGCAACTTTTTGAGAATTTATTTTGACCAGTTCTTGTGATATCTTTTAAGAAAAAGTAATAAAGGATTTATGTGTTAAAGTTATATCCAGTGTAAATATTTTATTCATGAAAGTGTACATTGGTTAGATGGATTAATGTAGTTCACAAACTTTTGAAATCTGTTTTTATTGACACTTTCATGTAAATATTTTGTGAGCATTTTGAGTTTGCTTTGAGCTAATTTAATTAATGTAAAGTGAAGCAATAATCAACAATTATTCTATTTGGATTAAGGTTTCTTGATAATTTGTCATTTTTGGAGAGGATTTGCAGTAAGGATCAGGCGAATTTTGATATTCTGGCCTTTAAAATGCTTTGATATGCTAATTATTGGGTTATAAACTCTTAATAGAACAGAATTTAATACATAGTAAATATGGGAGGAATTCTGTCTAGATCAACCAGGAGAAGGTGTTTCAACAAGTATAAATATACCACAGCTACAGGGAAGAGTTTTTTACTTGATTCAACATTTCACTCAGGTAGTTTTTTACGTTTTTTTATTCATGATTTTGGGGTATTTTTGCAATTTTTTATTAACAAGATATTGTGCATCAATTGCCAATTAATAGAAAAAACATAATTGACAAGAGTTGACAAACTCATTTGCAGATTTGCATCAAGTGTTCTTGAAGAATGTGCTATTAGCAGTACCCCCAACCAGTGCCTTTGGGAGTCATCTCACACTAATTAACCTGTTTGATCAGAAATCATTACTTTGTGACCTCAGCCAGTGCTTTTTTCTTATGACCATCTATCACTGGCAGGAATAGTCTCTGGTTTTAATATTATTGATAGATTTTGTTGTAGTCTTGGAAAGTTTGATAATGGAAGATGTCTGTTTTCTCCCTTGTCACAAGTTTAAATGATTTTTTTTAGCTCAGGTGATGCATTGTGTCGAGTCGTACAAATCTTTTAACAGAGTTGTCATGTGCTTACTAACAGCGACAATGACTAAAAGTTTTTCTACCCTCATGATGTGTATTGGGGCTATTTATGACTTCCATTTGCATCATTCCAATTTTCTATCAGATGTCTGTGGTTCCTGTAATTATAGAAATGCCTAGCTGTATATGAAGTCAGTATAGCAAAATTTGCTAATAATCTCTGAAGATCTAGCAGAATTGCAGGAACCACAGATGTCTGACTGAAAATTAGAATGATGCAAATCAATGCTATCCTGTCCCTGATACACCTACAAAGTTTAGAAAACTTCTTTACAATCTCTTTAACTTAAAGTATAAGATAATATTTAGAGTCCAAGGTTTTTACAAATTTTGAATTTCAAAAATATTTTCTGTCTGATTTATCATAAAAAGATTTGCATCAATTCCTTTGTTTCGATATTGAAATAAAAAAATCTGAATTAATTAGAATTCATCATCTGCTCTCGGCACACTTTTCATCCTTTCATCTTTCATCCAATCAGGTACATTCTGATTAATTGTCAAATCTTCACGGAAATTCGTGTATCATTTTTGTCATAATTTCATGAGCAATCTGTTTTCAAAGAAATCTGATATGACCTAGGTCAATATTATAAAAGATTCCTGTCACTTATACAGAATTAGACGTTGCATGTTGCGTTGTTTTTTTTTACAGGAAGAAAAGAAAAACTTCCATTGGGAATTACATCCTCTTGTTTTGTCTTTTTTTATTTTCTTTGATCGTTCACATTCTGTCGTTTCATGAAATATAAAAAAAGAAAATGGCTTCGGAAATATTTTGTTGAATGAAATAACGATGCTAACCATTCTAACGGCACTAAATTACACCTGAAATAAAAAAAACACTGTTTGGCAGAACATTTGTAGCAGCTTATAAACTTTTATATGAGGAAGTATATTAATATGAAAAGTGGTATCAGGTGTCTAGAAGAATAAGCATAGGCTGAATTAATACCAGTAAGTTTGCTGATGACATTGGACAAGATGGAGGCAGTTGAAGCCTGGAAGATTAGGGGCGACACAATCTCCTTAATATAAAAAACTAAGACCCTGCAGTATTTAGGATGGCTCTGTCTATAATATCAATGTCAAGAGGTTTGACCATCTCTCATTTTGGTAGAATTTTAGAGTTAATTTGTGGAAAATGAACTACAACTATGATTTTAGAATGTTTTTCACACTTTTCCTGGGTTTCTCTTTACAATATTTTCCACTTCTGTACCATTGATTGAAAAATTGAATTTTCAGATGTGACTCATATTCGATACCTAGCTCAGGAAATTCATGTAGCGAGTTAGAATGTCGTCTGCTCTTTGATTTAGGTTTGAATGCTTCTTAGGGAAAAATATCTGATCCTATCTCAGTATCTGCTATCATTTAGTGAGTTGGATTGTCGTCTGCTTGAATCCTTAGGGGAAGAGTTTCTGATCCTGCTTACGTGAGTCGTAAGTCACTCGCGCTTTGAACCTCTGTTTTAAAACCAAGGTCTGTTTTTCTGCTGAATATTATATTTTGAGGCACTTTGAAACGTGGAAACAGCCCACACCCCACTTTTTTGCCTTAAAAAAATGTTAACAGGGAATAAATGTATGACAGTCGGTTGCCTCATGATATAACTTGTGAAGTATTTCCTATAACTTTCTCATGATAATGTGTATTTATACAAAAATACAAAAAAGAAATGATAACAAAAAGTGTATGGTTGTATTTTCCCGTGGTAAAATAGCTGATGATATAAAACATGACTTTGAACATGGTGTTAATATGAGAACATGTTGGTGACTTATGTCATAAGATGTATTTAAACCATGACAACTTGTACTGTTCTCAGGCCCTATATTGGCCGTATTTTACATGGTGTTAATATGTTTCACAACAGTTTTCATGATGCCCATCATATTTCTCTTTTTATCTCTCAAAATCTCTAAATATTTTAATCTGAACTATGCTATATTTAGGGGGTGAAGATTTTGTTACATCCCCGGATAGTTTTTAAACAGGGCTACTCATTACCCACTACCCAAAAGTGAGATTTAAAACTGATATTTTTCTAATTTCAGTCGACCTTCCTCCTCAGAAATTACTCGACACGGACACATCGAAAGTTTTAAAACTTGACCAAGATGAGGAGAAGAAAGAGAATATAGATGAAGGAACAGTTGAACAGTCTAAATTAAATATTGAGGTAAGATGGGGTAATTTTCTTTTGTAAACATCTCAAAAAGCAATTTCGTTTCTCAAGGATCCTGTCTACAACCTACAAAACTCTTACTGAAACAAATTCACAAGGATAACACTTTGAGTTTTTGAGAGTCCAGCTTATTAACTTAAGTTCTTTAGGATCCTGTCTACCAGCTGATCATTGGCCTAACTTCTTGATAATCCTGTCTACCAGCCTTTTCTTAACCAAAACTCTTGGCAATGATCTTTCCTGTGTTATCTGTAGTTGATTCAACTAGCATCATCATATTATCATATTTTACAAGGATAACAGATTAGATTCTTTAAAGTCTTTAAGCTGGCTCGAAAACTGCATGTGATAGCAAAATTACATTTGAGTTAGGAAAATTGTGAAGAAAATCTATTAATGCATAATTAACAAATTCTTTGGAATCAAAGTAAGTTTAACAGTTAATTAATGCAGGATTTAGATCAGAGCAATATAATCTGATCAACTTCGCTTGACTGATTTCACAACCAAGAGATCATGAATATTTATTAAGAATTTAACGGCTACAAAATATGCAACAATTGATAACAAAAAACCTGACAAGTCCAAATTAAAATTAGGATGGTCATGTCAAAATATTTTATGTTTTTCTCCAATTACTGCCAAAATTGACATTTCACACCCCAAAATATAATTATTATGCATTGAAACACTGGGTAGATAAGGATGTAATTTGTAAAGCGTGGAGTTTAACGGAGGTACGAGGCGGACATTGAAGGTTGGATTAATTGCTTTGACTTTTATACTTATTGGTGACCTATTGGAAAGTAGGAATTTATTTCATTCATTCAAAAATTCATTCATTCAATCGTATATTCATTCATTCATTCATTCATTCAACTGTTCATTCATTTGTCTGTTCTTTCAACTATTCATTCATTCATTTGTATGTTAATTTATTCATTCAGTTATTTCATTCATTTGGTGTTCATTCATTCAACTGTTCATTCATTCATTCAATCAATCAATCAATCAATCAATATTTTCATATCTATTCATATAGTTATTTCATTCATTTGGTGTTCATTCATTCATCTGTTCATTCATTCATTCATTCAATCAATCAATCAATCAATATTTTCATATCTATTCATATAGTTATTAAAAAGTTTGAAGTTGTTTCTTCATCATTGACAAATTTCATTCACATATTTGTAAAATATAATTTCTCACCAATCATCTATTGTGTAGAATGTCTTGACGTAAAAAGAAGGGTAAAAAATTTGATCAAACTGATTGATAATCAATATTTATCTATTGATCACTGATTGATCTTTCAAATTATTTATTGATAAAATCAGTCACGTCAAAGGAAATATTTTGAGAAATTTGACAAAAGGGACTGCCTTTTCTTGTACCTTTCAACTTTTGGTCAAATTTGAAAATGGAATGAACTGATTATAATTTTAAATTTGAAACAGAATTCTATATTTTTTGAAGAAGTAATATCAACTCTGGTCCTCCATTCGGATGAAATTTAAAATTAGGCTCAGCATTTTTTAATCTATTAAAATATTTGTAACAGGTAGTTTGTTTGAAATAAGATCTGTATTATGTTATGTTATAATCGCTGTAAAAATTATCATAAAATTATATATCATGTACAGGTATTACTACGTTGACAAGCGATGTTCAGTCAAACGCGAAATAGACTTGAAATAAAATATGAATACAAATTGGAAGACATAAAAATATTGTTAACAAATTTTTTAAAATTCAGCAATAAAAAATGTGATATTTTGTGAAATATTTAAGTCATAAAATAGGATTATTGGATTATTCAGAACATCAAATATACTTGATAAAAATTTACTCTGGTAAAATAATGTCAAAAATTTAGAAAAATATATAATATATTGACATCAAACGTGAATCAAGGAAAATTCTTCAATAAAAAAAAAATTATTTTTCGAATAAGGGATTATGAAAATAAAAAAAAACTCTCAACTAAAATCATAACATAAATGATAGTCAAAAAGTCCAAAAAACTCTGAATAATTTTGAATAGAAAGTCTTGGAACTCAATGAGATTCCAGAAACCGTATTTTCTAACAGAGTAACGATCATCATCGTGTGGAATTCCAAGAAAGAAAATTGACACATCAAGTGTTATAATTTAAAGGCTCGTAAATAATTAAAATTGGACGTAAATTGTCGCGTTTAATTGGTCACAGCCTCAAAATGGACGTCATTTACCCGCGATGATTCAGACACACTCGGTATAATTACACGTTACTTTCATTGATTCCACGAAACATGTCAATAAATATGTTTACAAAGATATGATTAACCAGACTCTCAATCTCAATTATTATTGTATGATTAGATTATCCAGTCTCGATTATTTGTTTTCGCATTTTAGATTCTTTTATCCAGTTTTTGAGTTGCTACAAACTTTTGATCATGGAGTATAATACTATAAGAAAATCATTAACAGTTTTGATATAAATTTATTCATTTTTCTCTAGTTTGAATAGATATAAACTTAAAAAAGATCTCATCTTGTTTTTTCCACTAACTAAATATCTTGTACTTGATCATTTAGTCTATTAAATCAAAAAAAGTTAACGTGCAGAAAGGAAAAGGACAGTAATTAAGAGAAAATATCAAATAAGATTATCAAGTCTCAATAATTTGTTATAATGGTCATACACATTAATATCATAGTCTCTATCACTCCAGTCCTGCTCGTAGCTGATAGTGAATGAGTCAGTCAGTCAGTGTTTATTAAGTTTCTGTGTAAGAACCCTGTCGTACAATGTTGTTGATTTTTATGTGCTAATTAGCTGAATTAGTTAATTAATGTTAACGATGTTTTGAATCATGAGAACCCTCAGTCAACATGGAGTTTTACATCCTATTGTAAAGAATTGAAGATAGGAATAGTAAAATGTAAAGGTACACCTAGAATAGCAAATGTCGTCTTTGGTAAGTTTGGATTTCAAACTTTTGTCAAGATATTTTGGTCAAATTTACATTTATGGAACTTTTAACTTTTCAAATATTTGTTCATCTGGGCTCAAAAATCTTTAGACTGATATTTGAGGATATACATTTTGGAAATTATTTGTTCATCTTGTTCATTTGTTCGTCCAAATTTTTCTATAACTTACAGATTATACATGTTGGAAATGAGTGTTCTTGAAGAATATGTCCCCCTAATTAGTTTGGTGCCTAATTAACAATTTGTTTGTTATTATTTAGTCAAGAATTAATTGCCATTCGTATTTTCTTATACTAGAGCCAGCAACAGGTGGGGACCATTATTTTCAGAACATTGTTTTATTTGATGTAGCCACAACTTTTCCCCAAAACTACATTAATATCTTAGATATTGTCACATTTGATCACTTTTTATGGCCATTAGATCCTTAAATATAATAGTCTGCTTCTCTCAAATGATCAGTTAATGCCGCCATTATCAATGGGAATAGCATGGCCTTGAATCAGCTCTTTCTTGTAAGTTTTCCCTGAAGACACAGCTATTGGCGCTTGATGAAATTATAACCATTAACACCAGCAGACATATTAATTCAATTTTCCCTGCAAAAGGTTGCAGCTACTAAATTGTCAGAGCCCTGAATTAACCCTTTTCTTCCAAATTTACTGTTAATGACGATCCATCAAATTATGGCCATTAGCACCGACAGACACTTTAGTTCCTTGTTCTGAATTAACCAATAATGTTGCCTGCAACAGGTTGCTGCCATTAAGGTATCTGAATGGTCAAGGCATTGAGTCCTGAATCAGTTTATCCTGATGACAGTTATATTGACAGAAGGTAAAATTATGGCCATTAGCTAGTTCCTCTTTCTCAATGCCAAGTGAGTTTTACATGAAAGCAGTTTTTGGCTCAGTCTTAGTTCGTTACTTGTTATCCCTATCAAGAATGAAGTTTCTTGGCATTGCCTCTAACTAATTTTCCCTGAGAACAGTCATATTGATGTGTGCTAAAATTATGGCACCAGCAGACAATGTAGTTCCTTGTTCTGATACAACCATTAAATGTTGCCTGCAACAGGTTGCTGCCATTAATGTATTGAGCTCTGAAACAGCCTGTGTTAGGAACTTTTCTTCCAAAGCTAGACAATTAGTCAATTATAACATTGACATTAAGTGCTTATGGATATTAACATCAAAACACAAGATGATTCAAAAAAAGACACATTGACGCATAAAATTTTGAATCAGCCTTTATCAGTTATGTGTCATCCTTCAGATGATAGCTATGTTTCTTCGTATTAATTATTATTAATTGATCTTGAGATAAATCATTGTCGTATTCCATCTAATGGGTGATAATGGTGACGCCTGAATGAAATATTGCTGTTTACATCTTCAGACTTCCAACTGTTTGTCCAGCGATGTAGCCAGACTGGCGCCTTAATGTATCGGAATTGCAGACGCCTGTGGTGGCCATATTACATTAAGGAGTTTCTAATTACAATTATGATCCATTATTACGATGATTCACGGAAATAAAGTTGAAATAATGGTTTCCTAGGTCTGTAATTAATTCCAGGATACCTGCCTGGTTCTTTTGATCAGTTCTGGAATGTCTGTTCCAATTGAAAGTCTGTTTTTTTGGTGCCATGAGTCTGTGATACCTGATAATGTGATAATTTTATGGATTGTTGTTAGTCATAACCAATTGTCTGACTACAGTTATAAAGTGTCTGGTTTCATTAAGGATTGTAAGGTACTGTAGGGGGGGAGGGGGGATAGTAGCAAACACTGGGCTTACGGAAGATCTTTGAAAATTTAGTTGATAGTTTTCCTTGTAACGGTAATGGAGAAAATGGAAGGATAGAGGAAGTATTGGCCTAATTAAAAATCTTGAAGTCGAATTCCAGGTGATAATTAGTGCCCATTCCCTGTTCGCTGGTTTTAAATTGCAATAGCTTTGTAGATATTAGGAAAGCGGATTTTTGTGTCAGGTATCTGGTAGGGTAAGC